TGTGTGTGTATGTATATGTGTATGTATATATAATATTATATAAAATATTTTGCCTTATATATGATCCATTATGTATTAAAAACCATATGTCATAATAATAATAAATATATATATATATATACATATATATATATATATATATTATACACTATGTTATACTCTATTAGTATGTAACACATACAGATACCCGTATGTCAGAAGGTTCTTTATTTCATGGAGGTTTCGGCTTTCGGCTCCAGGGGATTTCTGGCTTGGGGAGCAGCTCTCCGGCTAGAGGCTGCAGCTCCAAACCCCCAACCTTACTTAAAGGATCATGGGACTTAGTAAGTAGGGTTATAATTAAGGTAACTATACTTATAACCCCAATTAAGGGACCCATGATCCGCCAAGTAAGCCCTCAAAAATGCGGCATTCAATGCATTTCGCCTGGAGCCTTTCAAGCTTCGTTGTCTCGTCCGGGCAGCTGCAGAATCTCCACCGCCCGCGTGCTCAGTCGTTCCTGTGGCTTATGTTTTGTGTAAGGATCTCAGTCAGTTCAATATTTCCATTATCAGAAGACTTCTCACTAATTACAAAGCGGCACTACTTGATTGCTGCGTATTTGCCCACCCGAAGGCCTGAAGCACTCAACTCACTCAACCTCAACTGCGACAAACCCGCAAATCCGCAGAAAAGCTGCCTCCAGAAACTCGAAGCCATCAGGCCCAGCCCCAGGAACCCGAAACCGCGCACACGCAGAGACACCAGAATCGCCTCCGGCCACCGCGCAGCGCCCAAAAGAGCAGTGGTCAAACGTTCGCCAAAAGCACCGGAGGCCATGGAGCTCAAAGCGCAGTGGCCCAGGACCTGGGGTCCAGGGGTAACATGTCCCGGGGGCCTCTCAAAAGGATGCAAGGCGCGGTGAAGTATTCGTTGAGTCCGTTGTTGCTTCAGCTTTCCTTATCAACTCGTCATAGGAAAGTGGGAGGCTAGTTGAAGCTTGCGGTCTGATCTCGTGGACTCATTATTTCCATATGCGGCCTTAAGCAATAGGGCTGCTTCACGGCCTGGCAGGTTTCAGGGCCGACAGGCTCGCGAGCGACTGGAAGGGAATTCGGGAGAGATGTGGCAATCTCAAAAATACTGGGCCGGCTTCTGCCGCTTCCAAACCTGCGCGCACAGCTTTTTTCCAATCCGTTTGGTTGATCCATCATGGCCCGAAGCCATGTTCTGAGAAGAAACAAATCTCAACCAGGCATGTCAACACTGCCGTCAAGGATCATCCAGGGCGAAACTGCGATTCTGCACGCTTCCTGTGGCCATGTTCAACATCAGCTTCACCCCAAAACCACGTCGGGTGCCAGTTGCACGTGGCACGCTTCCCTACATACGGCTGTGCAGCCGTCTATGGTAAACAGATAGGTAAGCAAATAAACTGTGACCATAGGCGTATAGAAAGAGAACACATCTGCCATTCACTTTGGCGATTTCTGCTTTTTCTGGTAAAGGAACTGAAGTCCAAAAGCCAGGGCGTGCACCACTGCAGCCAAGCATCGGCGCGCGTCTAAGAAAGGCAGCATCGACTTCGCGACGAGGTGCCTCGGCTGCTTGCTACAGTAGGGGTAAGATTGTGGGTCCCGTACAGGCGTTCCTGACCGATCGGCACTGGGTTGCAACTTTGGGGCAACGTTGAGGTTGTAAGGCTAAGGTTATATTCAATTTGCCTGCATAGTTCACTCAAGCATGCGTCGTGCACAAGGCAACGCGTGACAATAAGAGCACAGAGCATCCACTACAGCAGGCCAGCGACACTGAGACACAACACTCCCACCTCATGTCGTGCAGGTTCTAGATGTACCGAAGCTGTACAACTCATCTTCGTAGCAACAACACCCAAGCACGACAACTCGGAACACCTCAGTGTCTGGAAAAAGGGAGCTCGTAGAGCAGCTTTGTATCTCTACAAATCAACAATGTCAGTTCTCCAGCGATAGTAGCAGTCCATACTGTTGTCGTCATGGTAGGAAGCTGAGAGACCAGCATGTGTGAGGGGTCTTGCTTCCACTACCACGATGCTGACCAGCTGTAGAGCTTTAGACTCTCGTGACGTGAGCAATGCAGGCGAGGAGCTGTAGGGTGTTAGGGTTCATGGCTAATGTAGGGGCCTTAATAATTAGAATAGGATTTTTGGGCTCCTTTACAATATTGTTGTACTAAGGAACCCTTGCAGTAACACTTAGTAATTATTTAGGCTTCTATATTAATTGCCGCTTCTGAGACATGCCGGGGTGTTCTGGGAACTTGACAAACTGGATAAGGAGGAACGGACCAGCTTGCGCTGAGAGTTTGGAAGTCCTAAACCTCAGCCGGAAAGATCGGGCCCAGCCCTAAGTTTAGGGTTGGAGGTTTAAAGTTTAAGGTTTAGGGTAATAAGGCTTTGCTACAGAGTTTAGGGTTTAGGGCTTTGGGTTTAGGGTCAGTCCTACAAGCCCAAACCCTAAACCCTAAACCCTAAACCCTAAACCCCAACTCCAAGATGAGCCAGGGAGCCCCAAAGCTTCTCCTGTTCTCAGCAGTTTAGCGCATCTGCCGGATCTTGTGAGGGCTTCAAGAGTCCGGGCGGTTGCGGGATAGAAGGTGCCGGAAGATTGAATGTGAACTCTCACTGTTGTTCCATGTTCTTCCTAATTAGCTCAGACTCTTTCTTTCTTTCTTTCTTTCTTTCTTTCTTTCTTTCTTTCTTTCTTTCTTTCTCTCTCTCTCTCTCTCTCTGTGCTTCTCAGTGCGGATCGCTTTGTTAGCTTCGACGGTGCAGTCCAGAGTCCAGTTGCTACATGGCTACATGGCTAAACACCTCGGCGTGAAGAACGGAGCTCATGCTGTTCATGTGAAGAAACTCGAATAATAATAGTAGTAGGCATAACGTTGAAGATATAACACTCAGGCTTCCAAGGCGAGAGACAAGAAAACCCGAAAGAACAAGTTATCACGGAGTTGCTGACCATGCAGTGATAAATGGCCGTCCATCCAAACAACATGTCTCGGCCTACTCCAACATGTTAAAACTGAACTTCGCACCGAAAGGAAGAAACGAGCGTCCGCCAGTGCCACCGATGGTCTGCAGCACGGAGAAGGCAGCCCTCTTCACCTTGGTCTGTGAAGGGTGGTGAAACAATTGTCACTGGAGACCGTCCCTCCTAAGGGGTGATAGGCTCAAGGCTCAAAGTCTCTTTGGACAATGCTCGGCAGTTCTTGATGGCATGTGCGAAAGCCCACCGAGGGTCAATTCCAACGTTCACACCTGTAAGCACATCTTTTTGCAGGTGCTGCGCATGCTGGCTTGCGTGCCGCCCTGGGCTGAAGCGCCCCATGTCACAATAGATCCGTCTTCCAGGACAGCAGCAAAAGCAGAGTCAGTTGCGTGGATCTTCTGCACATTTCTGAGCTGCTCTTGGACAGGACGACTGTCACCGCCGCCCCATGAAACACCCCAGGTGACTACCGATCCGTCACGCAAGATGGCCGCGAACGCGAGCCTGTTAGACTGTATATGCCACACATCTTTCAGCTGTGCCTGCACTTGAGAGCTATCGCCTCCATAGCTGGCAGTACCCCAGGTTTCCACACTTCCATCATCCAGGATGGCAGCAAAAGCAAAACGAGTCGCTTGAATATCTCGTACATTTCTGAGCAGCTCATGGTTCGGGCTGCTGCGACTTCCAATGCACGTGCCCCATGTCACCACTGAGCGACTGCTCAGGATGGCCGCAAAAGCTGAATTGCTAGCTTGAACCTGCTCTACGTTCTGCAGCTGGTCCTGGACGGAGCTGCTGTCGCCACCATGTTCGGCATCACCCCAGGTCACCACGGACCCGTTTGCAAGGATGGCAGCAAATGCACGACCATTTGTTTGGACTTGCCTTACATTCCGCAATTGCCTGCTGACCTTACTGCTATCACTGCCATGACTGGCAGCACCCCAAGTCACCACGGATCCATCATGCGAGATTGCTGCGAACGCACCCTCGCTTGCTTGGATCTGCTGTACGTCCACCAACAGCTCTTGAACAGAATGGCAGTCGCCACCGGAAGCATCGCTTCCCCACGTCACAACTGATCCGTCCTTAAGGATGGCGGCAAACGCAGAATGAGTTGCCTGGATATGCTGCACGTCCTGTAGTTGCTGCTGGACTTCAGAGCTGTCGCCGCCGTGGCAGGAATCGCCCCATGTAACTACGGAACCATCGTCCAAGATAGCAGCAAAAGCACGATGGCTCGCTTGCACATGTCGCACATTCTGCAGTCGATCTTGTGCGACACTGCTGTCCCCACCGTACTTTGAAGCACCCCAGGCAACTACGGATCCAGTGTCCGTGATCGCGGCAAACGCGCCTGAGCTGGCTTGGATGTCCCGCACGCAAATCAGCTGCTGTTGAACGAGGCTGCAATCCCCTCCATTGGCACCCCAGGTTGATACCGAGCCGTCACCCAGCAAAGCAGCGAAGGCACCACAAGTTGCCGCTAATCGGAGCGGGCGGGTGTGCAAAGTCAACACCTCTCCTTGCTGCAAGCCGAGTTCGCCAAGCGTGAGCCGAGTGTTCAGCCTCTTGCCTGCAGCACTTAGCACGCTGAAGTGTCCCCGAACAGCCAGCTCGGTTTGTGCGCACTGCAGCAAGCTATCGAGGCGTGCATCTTCAGCCAACGCCAGCTGCACGCGCCTGCCGCTCATGAGGACGACTTCAAGGTGCATGGACATGTTGCAGGCGAGCTGTGCAGGGCTCCCTGTTCCGACAAGACCCCGAAACAAAAGTCATGCTGGTCGACATCAAGGTTTGCCTTGACTTCGATGCTAAGCTGACTTGGAGCTGCTACCACCTCCACACCCCAAATTCTGCCGGCCAGGTGCACTGGGTACTCCTTTATCTGCAACAATGAACCCGCTCCCGAGGAAAGCTCATGCCCAACGAGTGCTACTATTTTAGGGCTGTACAGCTGAATCGTGACCGGAACCTACCAACGCCCGGAAAAGCTGAGAGATTCTCCTGTTGCTCATCCCTGACTGATACCCAACGGCTTGCTGCGGCAACTTGGTTTAAAAGCCTCCAACGAATTGGACTATCAGTCTGGACATTGCTTGCAAATTGCTGTTGCTGCTGCTGCTCTTGTTGCGGTTGCTGCCGCTGTTGTTGTTGTTGTTGTTGCTGTTGCTCTGTGTGTGTGTGTGTGTGTTTGATATTGCTGTCATCCGCCGGCATGCAGGGAGGCAGGGGCCAGGTGGGGGGAGGGGGCAAATCTCTACCTGTAGCTCCTGTAAGATTGTAAGGATAAATCCATGAACCCGACACCCTCGTAGCAGGTCACTGCCCCTTTAAACCCACCAGTCTTTGCAAGAAGCAATAGAACCACCAGCTACAGTAACTCTGCCAGAGATGCCTCCAGCTGCTCATGCCAGCAGGTCCTTAGTAGGGGTGGCCCCCTTCAGCATCACGAATACAAGACATGACTGGTCGCCCACTCATTCAAGCATCGCTGCTGTTGCTGCTGCTGCTGCTGATGATGACGTAGAAGCTGGCAAAACAAACAAAGGAAGCTGACGGCAACGAGGACGGTGATGTTGACCGGAAACGTTGCATGCATGTGTGAGCTGATGGCATGAGCATGCAAAACAAATTAAGATGGCAATGGGCAGGCTTATGCAGCTGGCGATCATGCTGATGATGATGGAAGAAGGAAATGTTGTTGCCGGCGGTGTCGAAGATGGTGATAGACAGGATGGCGGTCACAGCGACAGTGGGCCTGAAGAACCCGATAGTCACGATGATTCCGGTCTTGCTAGGGGTGGTAGTGGCAGTAGTGACGAGGTACCTGAAAAAAAGGCGATGATGAGGAGAAGAGGGGCGGTGATGCTGATCGTACCGGGAACTGCAATCAAACCCTGTCCAAAGCAGCCAAGACTCGTGATCAGATGCCGTAAAAACTGTACAACGAGCCTTGGGCTTCGATGGAATCTGCTGCTGACAGTCTTGACCAGGCCTTGCAGCGAAAATGCAGGCTGACAAGGACGGAGAGGGGGCGAGCTTCACGAATTTCTGCCTATTGGCCCATAGGCAGATTATGGTTCTGTTGATTCTGCAGCTCCATGGTGAGAAGTTTGTGTTCAACACGGGCTTCCCCTTAATCGCTTCCCCCTAACAATAACCCCCCTAATATAAAATCCTCCCGGCCCCCGGAATTTCGCGGCTTCGGGCCCACAATTGAAAGTTAATTAAAAACATTAGGGGGGGCCTAGGATTGTATCAGGTTTCATCAAGCCAAGATTACAGCAGTACTAATGAAACCGAAAGTAGCAGAGCGAAAGGGTTTAGGGGCTTACGGCCTGCGGCTTAAGGTTTCAGCACTCACAACTGGGACATGCCTGGCGAGGTTCCAAGTACGACGACGTTAGCACATTGGCCAAGGGCTGGCAGATGGGCTTAAGGTTTACGGCTTAGGGCTTTAGGGTTTATAGGGCTCAGGGCTTAAGGCTTTTGGGCTCAGGTCTTAGGGCTTAGTGTTTACGGGCTTAGGGCTTGGAGCTTAAGGTTTAGGGGCTCAAGGTTTAGGGCGGAACGGCTGCGTATTTCTTGCTTGTCTGACTGTCTGGTTCATTAACTATCACTGTCAATCCGACTCATACCCGGATGCGCGGAAACCCCCCTAACATAAACACCAAACCCCCGGAAATCAGTTTTTTTTTATCAGCGGGGGACCGTTTAATATTGGGGGGAAGAGATGACAAGCGGAGGACAGCTGGGGCAGAACTGCATGCGGACAAGGATCAGCGGTAGGCTCTAACCATTGGCCAATCAGACACGCATTCGCTCGGCCGGTCAGTGGTGCGAACCAGCTGTGACAGACCCTTGTAGTTTTGCGTCGCATTCCTGGGCTCAGGTCGAAACTGAACCCTTTTTTGCAACAGGCTTTCCACTTCGCCCGGAGTTGGAGCAAGCGAAACTAAACCCTAAACCTTAAACTCTTTTGTTGAGAGTTCCTCATGCGCGGCTTCTGTGTGACACATGTTCCTCAGTCAACCTTCCGAAGTCTTAAACTCGGAATCCGAGAACAACCGGATTTCCCTAACCACACGTCTCCATGCCAAGAACGAAACACTCAGCAAAGACAGGTTATCCGGGATTCAAGAAGTATGCCAAAACATCCTCTGCGGTGCCCTCCTGACCGAGGTAGGCGAGGGCTTCAGTGTTTCAGAAGTGCTATGGGCCTGTTCGACAGTGCTCCTCAAACACAACTCCCTGGCAAGACTTGCAGCGCAGACCTAAACCCTCGTTACACCTTATTCTTGACATTGCAGGCCCCGATCTGCCAGAGGCAGCCGCTCCTTTTTCTCGAGCTTCGTTGCAATACTTTCTCTAATCAATCTCATCTTTCAGATCCGTGCATGACGATCATGGCATTCGATCCGTCTTCAGTGTATGTGCCCCTGTCCGAACTGCGAGGATACCCTACTTCCTGCCAACTGGCCTCAGGGACCTGAATATGGTGATTATACGGACAATATATATATATATATATATCTATCTGTGGGGACTATAGAGGAATGTGATTGCGAGTTATACATCCCCCCCCCCCACCCCCATATTGCCGGCTGCTTTATAGGGACCATGTATCTTTCGGCGGGGTGCCTCCATTTGAGAGGCATGGTTGCATCATTCTTCTTCCTATATCACTGCCTTGAGTACGAGTTCTGTGACTACGTCGTCTACGTACTATCACGAGCCACAATAACGACATGTAGCATCATGTAGCCGTGCATATTTTCCTTGTGCAGGTGCGAGGCTGAGAGTTCTCAGCAAGGTCCGAGGCGAAGTTTCAGGCAGGGTCCAGGGAGAAGGAAACCCCAAAAGCCAAATAAAACTGGTATAGGACCCGGAACGAGCGCCGTCGAGCCCTCATAGAGTCACAAAGCCCTTCTAGTAGCCTGTAAGACCCGGATAGATCCCCCTATCAAATCCCTGATCAACTTTTTTCAGCCGCTAGACGCCCTCGCCTACACTTGCGCAGTTTCCTAAAGACGCTGAAGGCCAACTGTTGGGATTCTGTGGCGTTCATTACCCCCTGAAGCGGTTCAAGGGTACTGTTTCGATGATGTTCCATCGCCTTCTCTAGGCGTTTAGAGGTTTTGGCAGCAATCCAAAACATCATACCCACCCTAAGCTCAGCTCTAAACAGCTCGAACATGAATAGGTAAACAAATATACATGAGCTCTAAACAGCTCAAACAGTGTAAATGCGAGTCTTCTCCTCCACAATGAGCTCCACCAGCGCCGCATCCAGAAGACAACGGCGTGCGGGCGGCCGAGCAGCCAAGCAAAGCCGAGCCGTCTGGAACCTTGCTGACATTAAGCTGATGCGCTGTTAGTACTCGTAAGCTTTGCTGTATGATAGTTCATGTCTTGACCACGATCAATGGCACTTTGCGACTTTTGTTTCTGATTGCTGCGGTTTTACAATCTTGGCGATGAGCATCACCTATCTCGCCACTTGCTGAAACAGTAGTTCTTAGCAGTGGGCGTGGGGGCAAGGTGGCTAAAGTCCCGTCTCCACGGGGACGGGGACCGGGTGATGTTTGAAGCGAGCTCTCTCATCATCTCAGCTCAGAGTCCCTCAAGTTCGCTAATCTCGAGGTTCGAGACTGGCTCAAGGTTTACAAAGCTTTGGGTTTTGAGGGCGCAGCGTCGTCATGCTTTGGAAGTTTTGGGTGGCATCCAAGGCTGACAGCACCCACATCTGGTTGGGAGTCCGGAGTATTCGGGTACGGTACTACACCGGAACCCTCAAGCCACTTTGAAGCCTAAACTCACTCAATGCTTTAAGGTGTGGTATTTCTACATACTTTTTTTTCCACGGCTTGCTCCACAAGCTGAATGAGCACTGCATGCACAAAGTTGACCGAACCTTTTCTCAGGCTCTACAACTACACCTCTAGGAAAAAGTCTGCTCTAAGCTGAGATGCGGGTACAGGAAGGACTGCAAAGGAGATTCCCACCTGACGAACATGGAGAGAAACTTCTTTTCATTCGAGGTTCCCAGAGACTCCAATATCCCTTAATTAAGGAATATACTATATACCTTAAATCATATTCAGGATCCTACTATAGTTGAAGGAGTATTCCTGAATTAAGGAATATTGGAGTCTCTGGGTTCCAGATGGCAGCATGGAAAGCTTGAAGCGGAGGTTGGGGTTGGACTCTCCTCAAAGCCCTCCTTGCCTAGGCAAGCCCCTCCGCCACAACCAAATCGATACTATTCTGGGATCATCCCTCACCTAGCAAGCAGCAGCCGTAGAGCGGCTGCAGCCAAGGATGGCACTCGAGCCCGCGCCGGGCTTAGCGCCTTGAACGCTCTGCAGTAGGCGAAAGAAAGTTACGAAAGCTGAAAAGCATGCACGCACGTACACACACACACACACACATGCGCGCACACACACATACGCTGCCCTCACGCTCCATTACTCTCATGCTCAGGCACACTCTTTCTGACGCTCTCTAGGTGATTGACGATGCAAATATGGGCAAGGACCAGCCAATGTCCACTTTCTTCACCGACCTCACCCGAGACGCATTTGGATGCGTCACCGTTCTTGTGCACCTTTCTTTGCATCCGGAGATGCATGAATGGGTATAGAAAAATAAACCCGGGCTTTAGTGTACCTCCTGTGTTAAATCAATGGCCAGATTGCGCACGCCAGGAAACCAGCATCTATCCCAAAGCACCCGATGTCGCTTGGAACGGCATGCAATCCTAAACTCCAATCACAAAGACCCCTACTATGGGGTTCCGCAATCGTATTGATATTTCCTGATTATTCTCACAGTTTTCATCACCAAAAGGTAATTTACACCCAAACTGCCTTCACCCTAGCACTCCAAAAACTCCAAACTTCTTTGAAGAGCTCCTGATCCGACTCACTCGGGGAGGTTTCCAGGTGCGGGAGCCAAGAGCGTGGAGGGGCCAGCCTGGGGCAGCGGTGTGTTCTTTTTATTTTGCTGGTACCACGGTGTTATTATGGTGTTTGACTTTAGGATCGGGTGAAAGGGTTTGCTGATGGAGCGAGTTTGGGCATTTAGGGCCGCATAGTTCTGATGTATGATCTAGTTGAGAGAGGTCGCATGCAAGGCATACTGTCTTGTGTGTTTGGGTGAGTGCTGCAGCCAGTAGTGCTGCAGATTTGCCTGGCCCTCAGTTTTCTCTCCTTTCAGGGGTACCCGGCAGTCGCAATAGGCCTGGATGCAAAAAGGGTTTAGGGTTTAGGGTCAAAGGGGTTTAGGGTTTAGGGGTTTAGGGTTTAGGGGTTCCTAGAGAGCCCAATACCCCTTAATCAAGGAACATGGTTTGAAT